GGATATAGCTCGCTAGCAGCCTCGCACCGAGGACCTATCCACGTCATCATTTACCCAGAATGCTTTGTGTGGAAATAAAATGGCTCCGTCCGTGTTAAAATACTGTATATATTTTTAAAATTTACAAAACTGTAAATCTAATGTTACAACTAATCAGGGATCCCTTTAAGTATTTATYTGTTCTAAAGAAATACTGCATTTTTTTCCCACTTCAGGTAACAAATCAGGCAACCGTCGCACTGCCAACATCAGAAGCATCGGCCACTCTGACCTGTTCAGCTTGTCCAAAGAAGACCTGACTGATGTGCTCTCTGAGTTCCCAGCAGCCAAACGGCACCTGGAGGAGAAAMGCCGACAGATCCTCGTCAAGATGGGCATGCTGGAGGAGAGCTTGGACGGAGTGGTGGTGGAAGCGGAGAACGTTGAAAACAAGATAAAAAGGTTGGGGGACAACGTGGAAACCCTGCAGACCAAACTGGCCCGACTCATGGTGGAGCTGGAGTCCAGCAACCGCAAGCTGCAGGTCAGAGTGGAGCAGCTGGAGATGCAGGCTGCGGTGCAGAAACCTCGGCCGCCAGATGGTGGGCATGAAGGAGAAGGAGCGCAGGGAAGACTGGAGGGCGTGGGAGGGGAGGCTGACTGTGAGAGAGAGGAGGCAGAAGGAGAGCAAGAAGAAGATTTAAACATAAAGGCCAGAGGACAAAGTGATGATGATGTGACCAAAGGAGGTGGAGAGAGCATTAGAGGTACAAAAGAGGAAACTGAAWGTGTGGTGGAGGGACAGAAAGTTGGTCTGAAGACCTCAGATGGTCTGACAGAGAAAACAGAAGACAATAAGGAAAGAGTCAGAGACCAAGGAGACGACACACCCAGGAAAGGTGACGGAGCTGAGACTGAACCTGGACATGGAAGAGAAGAGAAATGTGAGGAGGAGATGGAAAAGACTGAAGACCAGGATAAAAAAGAGATGGAGGAGTGAAATGAAAGGCTTGGATATAATAATAATAATATTAATAAACTAAACATTTGAAAATAGAGGATTTAWGTGTTGGTATGTAAAGTTGAATTTGTTTGTTGCAATACATCTTTCTTCCGCTTGATGGCAGCACAGTGTCTCCATTTAGAAACACTTATTCTCCAGAACACAAAGTGTGAAATCTGCATCACGTTACATTTTAATGGATATTTTCTAAATGAATTTATTTGACTCAACTTTTTTATTTGACTTTTTTTCACATGGAGTATGACTACCAGTCTCAGTTTCATGCATTTTGTGTCAGAAAAAACTTTTAAATCATTGTTTAACTGAATAGTTTATTGTGTGAATGCCTCAAACATTCACAATATTGATTTCATGATTCTCTTTATTTGTTATTATTCCAGTTTTTTTCCGTACATTTTTTTTTGGACTGCTTCTCCTTCCACAATTTTTATGCTACTTCAACCATTCATATAACAAAATATTCATCTCTTTCAGGACATTCCGGCTATGACTTTTGATTTATTAAATTTTTATAGTTTTTTAGCAATTTCAATTTTTATAATTTTGGTTATAATGATGTCATCAG